GGGGACATGGAGACAGGGAACAGCTGAGGACTCTAAATTTATGGGAAGAGAGGGACTGAGAGCTGGTGACCAGGAGGCAGACTTGCAGAATGTCCCCTTTGGTGGTGAAAATTATTATATATGCGTGAATGTTTAAAAAAAAAAAAAAAAAAAGAGCTAAAATGAATAGAGAGAAATACTGTTAGCTGATGGTACATGTAGGGGATTAAAACCATTGTAATGAAACAAAGTATATGATTTATTGAATGTAAAACTGATGATCTGCCCTATAAACTTGTACTCAATTCACAATAAAAACTTTTTAAAAGAAGGCAGGGAGCGGGAGAGACTCCCATGGACATTCCGCCTGACAGTCCTTTGGGAAAAATGTTGAGTGCTTGGGGGACAGTCCCTGAACCCCAGGAAAAAGATACAGACAAAAGTCAGGATGTGCAAGAAACCTCCAGGAAATCTGGGGGTTGAGCGCACAGGGAATCAGGTTCTCATCTTCCATGTGAATCACAGAACTCAGCCTTCTTAGCAGGAAATACGCTGCGCTTTGTTGGTTAGTAGTGGAGTACAATCAATTCAGAAGATGTTCCCCCTTTAAAGAAGAAAAAGGGGAGCCTTAGTCAAAATCTTGGGAACCTCTGTCTTGTCTGCTACCCCCTTATGCCACAGTGCGGCAGAAAGAGACAGGAACTGAAAATAGTGAGGGGACTGAGACCAAGAATAACTTAGAGAAATAATAAGAGAGTCAGTCCTCAGATCCCAGAATGTGGCCAAGGCTTTTGAAGTCCAACAAGAGAAGGGAAACCCCATTGGCTTTTACTCCAGAGACTTAAGGATCAAATGAGAAAGAAATTACAAAACATAGAGGGATGGAGTAACAGACTCATTGATGAAGTGTTAAGAGAAGCTCAGAACGTTTTTATAGAGAGGAGAAGGAACAAAAGCAGAAGGCCAGAATCTTGGTATCCACTATGGATAAAGTAGCTAATAAGAGATAAGATGCCTTCCTTTCCCTCCCCGCCACTCTACTCCCCCGCCGACCCCCATCTGAACCTCCCTCGCCCAGGGAAGTGGTATTCCACCTCCTCAAA